CCCTAGCTGTCGTCTTGATCTGACCGTAAGACTCTTTATAACTCTCGTAAAAATGACGGTTAATATGTGGGTTTACTGTCAATTTCCTAGATAATTCAGGTCCTGTAGTCGTTTTCTACCTTCCAAGTCGAAACATCACTTCAGAAAATCGACAAATAGCCGTTACATGGCCAGAGCCTCAATTTAAAGACAACAGCAACGACCCGCTGCAAACAACGTGCAGTCGAAAAAGTGGCATTGTCTTCTATTGGGGAAGCTATACAATACACTGTATGGCATACGATAACAACCCGGACAACAAGCCAGCAGTCTGTAAGTTTGACCTCACAATAAAACGTAATTAACAAATATGATTCCCTGCAAGAGCTGTCGGTACACAGTCCATACCTTTAAGATACTTGATACTAGAAAATCTTTATTTTCAGCAACGACCTTCTTAATGGCTTTTGCTTGAGAATTCAAAATTCTCTTTTCCATTGTAAGAAATGGTAACTAAATGTATTTTGATGGTGCCTTGGTACTATGAATAAGTTTACTACGTCAGCACTTTAGGTAACTCTATTAAAGTCTTAGAAAGTACAAAACAACCTGGCAGACCTAGAGCACTATCAGCATTCCAGGAATTCATAATGACTTTGGTGCGAATACGACTGGGATTGTTTGAGAGAGACTTGGGCCATAGGTTTAATGTTTCTCGCATGTCTGTTTCAAGGATAACTAACTCATGGCTGAGATTTTTGAGGTCAGAGTTCGAGCCACTTATACAGATACCACCTGATGATGTTTTGAAATTTCATATGCCGAAAGTCTTCAAAGAAATCTGTCCTGACACTGTTGTCATTGTAGACTGCACTGAGTTCCAGATGGAAAAGCCATCGTCACTCGATGCCCAATCTGCCTGCTATTCATCCTATAAGAGCACTAACACAATGAAAGCTTTATTAGGAATCACACCAAGTGGAGTTGTCTGTTTTGTTAGTGAACTATTTCCAGGAAGTACTTCTGATCTAGAAATAACAATGCAAAGTGGCTTTCTTGGCAAACTTAAAAGAGGTGACGAGGTAATGGCTGATAAGGGGTTTAATTGTCAAGATGAGTTAGCATCAGTTGGAGTTGTGCTAGTTAAACCTAATTTTCTAAAAGACAAAAAGCAATTTTCTACCAAAGAAACAGAACATAATAAAACAATTGCAAGTCTCCGTGTCCACGTGGAAAGGTTAATGGAACGTATTAAAAACTGGCATATTTTTGATCGTAAAATTCCCATTTCAATGTCACCTGTTGCCTCTGATATATTAATTGTGGTGGCTGCTCTATCAAATTTTCTTCCTCCCTTAATAGACTAATTAGATTTTGTACATGTTCATGGTAGAGTGCATTTCATTGTTGATGTGTGAAACACTTTGAAAGCAAAATTGTGCAAATTAGTGCATGTTTCACTCTTATAATGAAATGCACCCAAGGTGTAAGATAGAGCAAAAACACGAACTTTGAAATGATATTAAATAGTTATTGACAAATATTTAGTATGTAGTGACAAATTAATGATATCACTGGACCAGAATAGTTTTTAGTCTTGCTATAAAACAAATGCAATTGACAGAGACCACTTTAAATATATGGTACTGTCATTAAACTGTTCAGGATTGAGCACAAAGCAAAATGAAACAAAACTATTTATTCTAAACATGAACAAAAGCTGCAGAATATAATACATTACATGATAATATATTTGCTTGACGTTTTGATCTGATAAATCTTTAAATTGTTTTCCACACATGTGCAGTCTACACTTTGATGCATTAACTTTAACTATAACTAAATATATTATACTTTGCCTCTTTTGTATTCTTTTGTCCAGTGACAACTATTGTGGTTTATTAAACTTTGAAATTACAATAACTGCACAGGTATTTAAAAGCCACTTATTTCAATAAATAGTGCCTGTTATTGTTGTTAGTATTTTAACCTTTTTAAAGGTTACACTACATGTAGACCCATTATGTCCAAGATAATTAAAATTGTGCAACTTATATTCAAGACTGCAAGGTTTTCTTTTACACTGTTCTAAATGAATTCATTTAAATCAATTTAGGCACAGTCTATTCAAATCTCAACTGACATCTTGCTAACCCATATTTGACTCGAGGATATGACATCTCTGGTAAAACTTGTAGTTGAAAGAAATTGCAAAGTTTAGGAAGAACACTTTCCCAAAACTCAGAGTTGAAGTTGACTCGCTCAATGTATAGCTCATTTCCTGTTGATCCCTTGACTACAAAATCTGTCCATTTACGCTGGGTTACAAACATCTGTTGTTGTATTTGATAGAAATACTTATGTCCAGTGTTCATCTTTAGATGGTTGTCACCACAGTCCTTACATATTCTTCTTTGAAGCAGACCTTGTCTAAGACTCTCACTGTCATTTAACTGTATCAATTTCATTTCAAGAAGTCCAAGTGGTTGGGAAACATGAGGATCTGACACTAGACCATCAGGGGTGGCTGCTAAGAAACCATGGCTTTGGCTAATAAAAAGCCCACATGGCTCAACTGAAAGATTCCTGTAGCCTGAGTTATGCTTAGATGTAACATATAATCTTTCAATTTCTTCTTCTTTCTCTAAACCCTGATTCATTGCAAAACTCTGATACTGTTTATTATACTGTAAGACATCTGCAAGTGCCTTTGTTGGTGATGTAGTGGGCTTCAAAGAGGCAACCCGGTAACATTTCGAAGCTGTTATTCTACACTTTCTGTGATAATTCCAAAGCTTGTCCTCTGATTGTCCTCTAGTCTTTTGCTCAACTTTGGTAATTTCCTTTTCCTCTAGATTCAACTTTTTCTCAATTTCTTTGCATTTTTCACTTATTTCCCTTAGGGATGGTGGAAGGACTTTGAGCGGCGAAACAATGGTGTCTTCTTCTTTAACCTCTTGTGGCAGTATGTGACTCCAGCCAACAATGTTACCACTTTTGGTTTGATAGTCTTTGATAGTTTGTAACATATTGTTCACTTTGGCATCTGACCACTCTCTCTGATGTATAGCTCGAACATCTTTCCCTTTCTTGATATTTGGTGTTCTGTCAGTCTTAACTTGTTTGCTGTAGTCATGTTTATGAAATGACATGGCTGAGATTGGTGATAGAGGACCTTTTCGTTTCCTTGGGATATTCCATTTACATGGTTTAGAAGTACATGATTCTATGGAGATCTTTTCTCTTTCTTTGCAATATTCAGCCAAGGCAAAGAGAGTTGCAGACACATGATTACATCTTCCGTCTATTCCTGCTGGGCAACCACAATATGCTTTGAGTACTCCTCCAATACTTGACATTACTATTTGACATTGGTATATTAAGTTCTTTTTCATTGATGGGAGAACTTGGCTCTTTATAAAGTGCTTCCCACTTTCCTTTAAATGGTGAATAGAATGTACGTTCCCAGACTTATAAAAATTGAACCCCTTTACAAGAGGTTTAGCAGTTGAGAGTTGTTTTTTTGAGTCAACTGAGTCGATCATGTAACGCCAGATGGTTCCAAATGACACTTTAGGGAGAGCATTGAGATCAGAGTTGAAACCTTCTTTTGGAAATTTTCCATTTGTTTGAGGCTCTCTCTTATCAAGCAAACCAAGATCTGCTTTTTTCTTCATAATATTAGCGCCGTTGTCGGGGTCTCTAAGATATTTCTTGTCAAGGCCATTTTCTACATAGTGTTTTAGCCTATGCAAAACGATTTTAAATAATGTTAATGGAGTTCTAAGCAGACGATTTAATGTATAAAATCTTTAAGTGAATATGTTTTCCATCAGAAATATTAATGGTTTTTATGTGAGCAAAAGAAAGAGCTACGAAAAAGCTGAATTTGACCCTTTACCTGCTGACTAAAGCTGACTTTTTACCACTTGTTTTCGCTCCCCTACAAATCAGCCAGCGCTTTAGCTGTACCACACTGCATGCCTCTACATTTCTGTTTTGCAAAACAGCCCCAGGTATATCGTCTTCAGTTAAAATAAAGCCTTCTTCTTTAGTTTCTGAGAGCTTACTATCATTCGCAATGGACGCCATTTTGATTTCTGTCCAGCCAAACAATCCATGCATGCTTTGCGATCGCAGTTTCAGTCCCAGGCCCTTTTTCGTTTTGTTACCGGCGAATTGCTTTTCAGGGGGAAGAGAGGGAGAAATTAAACATTACTAAAAGAGTATAAAAGGATGGACATTAAAAAAGTGTCATTGAGGGAAGTCACGGACACAACTAAACAATAACCGGTCCCAACGTACGTTTGCAGATTCAAGATGATTTTTAATGTCCAATTTGTAAACGATAGCATGTAAAAGATTTCGTCTCACTTGTCAGTACTATCATTCACTCTACAAATTTAGTACTTTTTGATTATAAAGTAATATCTTTACCTATTAGTTAGGGTGTTTCCATGATAAGAAGTGGGACAGAAACGTGGTACGTATGAATTCTCGCACTTTTACTGAAGCTTGAAAAAATTCAACAAATTGTGATAACACAAATTCTCAGAAACTCGATGTGTCCTGGGGGCAAATTCCTGGAAATGTTTTGAATTCATTACCAGTTATCAGTGTACATAGATATCATCTTCAGTATCGTCTAGAAGACCGTCTAGCTATCTCTGTCAGAGCTGACGCAATGGCCTACTGATAACGTACACGGCTTGAAATACAGCCCAGTGCTAGAAATTTTGATTTCTAGCACTGAAACCTCAAAGTTCTGGATCAGAGCATCATGCCGAGTAAGGCATATATAGTATGATTTCAGACAAGGCAAGAGAATATCAAATGTGTTTATATTCTCTCCTGCAGACACTTAACAAGACGTGATTGAATTCGCTCAACGTTAATGAATTAATGTGGCAATGTTCAAAACATTCAAGAATAACATGCTGTTTAGGGAACTCTTTAGTCCATTCATCTTACCCATGTTGCAAGCGTTTCTTATGGGACTATAGCCTAACCGCAGTCTAAAAACTGGCATCTCCGCCCCTGCTAAGTTTTGACAGTTTTCTTTACAAGCAATTGACCAGAGGAGGGTATTTTAACCAAAAGCAGGAAACAATGGTCTCGCCACGGGATTGAGTCACACAATTTGATCAGCATCCAAGCAGGTGAACCGATTTTGCAATGACGAGAAGGCCTACCTCCGTTGAAAGAAGTTTCCATAGATCTTGACATCATGTTACATAAGAAAGATGAACTTAACATTTTAGAGAGATGAGCGAAAGAAGGCGAAGGGTTGGGAAGGAGCGAACTCCCATCCCTTCGCCTTTTTTTCACGCCGGATAACGAAGAGTTGGCAAGACGTCGGTCAATGGGTCAAAAGAAAATGCTGGGATGGGGAAGAATTCAGACCAAAAAAAGGTTGAATTACTTTCTCTGAGACTCCTAAAAATTCAATTCATACAAAAATGTACCGTAGACTCAACAGATGTAAAAGTTGCGATCGTTTTCTTTTCAAAAATTTCTGGCTCGCTGGTGATCTTTCCATACATTTTTCCATATACGGAACTGAGATTTTGAATAAAAATTAGGGGTCCAAAACCCAAGAGTACTAATACCGTAATAAAAATTGGACCTAACTGCCAACCGTAGAAAAAATTTTCACCCTCATAAGACTTCTCATGCTAATAATTAAAAGCCTGAGGAGACACAAAGGGAACCTGCCATTCTAATTCGCATTAATCACCATAATGATAAAAAACGTTCGCCCTACGCGAATAATTCCCGGTGTTCTGCCTTCACTGAGTGCTCAGCTACCTGGAAGATCGTCTGTCCCAAGCAAAAATCGACTGGTAACATTTCCTGAAAATTAATAAAAGATGGGCACCGATTTGAAAAAAAACTTGCATATGAGACCATGAAGATTCCTGCTAAGTAATCAGCACAGGAACCAAACATTTTGAATGATGAACGGAAACTGAAAAGAGTTCTTTGTAACTACCACTGCACCATCTTTCCGTTTTTGGTGGGCTCTTCTGGCATTTTGCACCGATATCGAGGCGCGCGGGTTTGTATGCTATTGCGAGTATTTTAAACGGGTGTTATACAAATAACATAAACCATCGATGACCGACCTGTCATGTATCCTCGCCTATTGCATAACCTAGTGAAAATCGCACCTGAAGACATTACTTACGCGTGAACAACTCCTCTGAAAATGTCTCCGGATAACGATTTATGAATTCCAGTACATCAGCTTTTTCTCCCATCTTATCTATCGATAGCGGTATTCGCTGGGACATCAATAGTCCTTCTTTCATTAAATCTTTTGCTTGTTTTTCGTGGCCCATTTTGTCATGTAAGACGGCCAGCGCAA